TATAATTATTATTAACTGCACAAAGTGAGGACGACTTTTTTTATTGTTTTGTATGATCAATGATTTCTTAGTTCATGCTTCAAAAAATTTGTTGAATGAATTGCTAACTTGGACTAATTATTAGTATTGAAGGAATTAAATAATCTTTCTTTTTTATTTTTGAAACCCATTTCACATATTTGCTATGATTTATCTGTATCTCGTTACTACATTTAAAAAAAATGGGTAGAATACTGATATTTTCTTTTCAAGGCAATTGACAGATATACTAAAAATTAAATGCATTGGTTCTGGAGTAAGGTGAAATCAGCACAAAATAAAAGCTCTATTTAGTTCTCAGCTCTGTGATCTGTAGCATAGCTTCTAGTGTTCTGTCTACATGTTGCATTTACTGTAGACATGCTCCATTTAAATTCATATGTTGAAGTTCTAATCCCCAATGTGATGGCACCAAGAGACGGGGCCTTTGAGAGGAGATGGAGTTTAGATGAAATCATGGGGGTGGAGCTTTCATGGTTCCTGATAAGAAGAGGAGACACCATAGTTTTCTCTTTCTACCCATGAAGATACAGCAAGAAGGTGCCATCAAGATAGGAAGATGGCCTTCAACAGACATGGAGTTGGCCAGTACCTGGATCTCAGACTTCTCAGCCTTCAAAACTTATAAGAAATAAATATTGTTAAAGACATCTTGTCTCTGGCATTTTGTTGTAGTAAACTGAGTATACTGAGACACTGTTTGAAATTCAGTGTGTGTGTGTGTGTGTGTGTGTGTGTGTGTGAGAGAGAGAGAGAGAGAGAGAGAGAGAGAGAGAGAGAGGGAGACTGCGGGGAGGGAGGGAAAGAAAAGAATAAACCCAAGGGATGAAATCAGATCTACCAATACCAATATATTGCTCAGAGTATTATAATGAAGCAAATATTATTAACTACTGGCCATTGTTGTTATTTGCTTGGGAAAATCTGTTTCATGAATTAGCATCAAGCAAATTTTCCAATTCAGGTCAATTAGACTTTGCTTGTTGGTCACACTTCTAAGTAATCAGTGAGTACAAAGAATATAAACTAATTTCATATTTACCACATCAGTTCTCAGTTAGATTTTTCTCAATTTATGATACAATTTTTTCACTTTCTTATTTTTAATTAATCAATTGTCATTATTTCACATATTTCCTTCCTATTGGCATGCTGGTTTTAAACCTTTTCACTATTCTTATAGGAATTCGGCTAGAGACCAAATATGTGTCTGTGGATTACTAGGAATAATATAAATTATTACTCATACTACATTCTAGTCAATGCCAAGACCTCAAATATCCAATTCCATAAACCTTCTCCAACCTGCTCAAGTGCCTGTAGAGTTACTATTGTCATGCATTTTAATTCAACATACATCTTAGCCTCATTAAGATGTCATTACTATTACTATTATTTTTTATTTTGTATATCCAGTATTCCTTCAGATTTGCTCCAGGTTAGATAGACTAAAATAGATTGGATAGGCTAAAATTAGATAAATTATTTTTTCTAATTTTCCTGCATTTTGTGTTTTTCTTCAATATTATTTTCCTTCTTTTGGAAAAACTATGTTTAATGATATAGTTGTCCTGTTATATAAGTTACTGCTGCTGAATATGCTTGGTCTTTGATGGTCTAGAAGTATTTATGGTGCTCCATTTGGAAAGATGTTTTCACTGCACGCTGTTCTCATTTTTCATACATTGTTCATGTCCTCCTACTGTCTTTTGTCTCACATCGTTTCTGTTTGAGTTAGCTGTCACTGGTAAGTCTGCTCCTTTGAAAATAATGCATCTTCCTTTTTGGCTATTTTTGCGATTTTCTTTCTTTGTCTTTGTTTTTCAGCATTTTTACTGTGATGTTCTTGGGTGTGGTTTTATTTTTATTTACTGTCTAGAATTGGAGCGCTTCTTGTATCCTGTGGCTTGCTACCTTTCATCAAGTGGAATGTTCTTGATGTTCGCTGTTAAGCACAGCCCTCACCTGTCCCTTTGCCTTCTGGAGAGAGAGAGTCTTGCAGGATGTGAGATGCTCTCACCATGTCCCACTGTCTTTTTTTCTCTTCTGTGCAGTTTCCATCCTTCTTCCTTTCCAGAATCCAACAGAATATTCCACACTTACCCGAATTCTAGTTTCCTAATCTTTTCCTCAACTTTGTCTAGTCAACCTCTTTGTTGTTAATCCTCTCCCTCAAGATTTTAATTTCAGTGATTATATTTTCAGTGCTTGAATTTCCATTTGGTTCTTCTATGCACATTCTAATTTTTTGTCTGGAAAAATCCTCTGTCTGGTCATCTATTTTCCTGAACACATAAATTTGTAGTAACTTTAAAGTTCATGTCTGATCATTGCAATATACAGGTCATCTGTTTGTTTGGTTTTTTTTGTATTGTTTGTTTCTTCTCCAGAATTTCTATTGATTATGGATGTTGGTTGCAAAATTTTAAAAAAATATCTAGATGATCTAAATGGTACTTTTCACAATGGTGTTTAGTACATTTGGGTTGCCATATCAGAGTATCTGATGTTGGGTAGTATATGAAGTTAAAAGGTTTATTTGGCTCATAATTTTGGTAGCTAGAAAGTCCAAATAGCATGGTGCCACCATCTGGCTGCATTACAACACGTGGGAGGAGCAAAAAGGTAACTGGGTACATGCAGAATAAGTAAGGAAGCAACCCACCCTTGCAGGAACTAACCTGCTCCCACAAGAATAACATTCTTCTCCTCCATTGGTGGTGCTCCATGTTCTCTCATCTCTTAAAGATCCTTTACATACCAGACTTTCAGCACACGAACCTTGAGGGGACAAATCATATCCAGATCACACAAGTGGTATTTATCCTTCTGTTTCAGGGAAGAGTGGAATGGACAAAGAAAACAGGGAAAGAAATTTTGGGAGATTTGAATTTGGAAAAAAAATTGTTGAAAGGCATGTATACGTACACCAAAATTTACTTTGCATTTTCCATTAAAATTAAAGAACTTCCTATGTGATTCCATTTCCCAGTCCTCAAAATTGTTACTTGTATATTATTGCATGTATATAAAATCATTAAAAATATCACTCTGTCCTCAATTCACCCAAATCAGATCATTTCTTAGTACAAAATGTTATTTTCATTTTCTCTATTGCTCAAAGGGGCCCTAGGGTCTGCATCTTCCCTTGAGATTCTAGGATGTTGTGAGATCTCATCCTTGGAACTTAATAGCACATTTCTTCTGTTTAAGAACCAAGACTACAACCAGCATGTCTTCCCCTAAAATGAATCCATAGATTGCCCAGTCGAATGCTTGGCATACCTGAGGCCTGACAGCATTTTGATAGACGACTTACATACATAATTTGAAAATTTTCAATTGCATTGGCAGAGACAGGAGATGTTTGTGTTAATTGAAAGCATTTGTATTAATTGATTTTCTGGATTGAAGCAGACAAGGCTGATGAGGAGGCCTACAGAATTCATTCAGTGAAAGGAAAGAGGTTGATTTAAGATTCACTCTTTAAATGAGGGCCGAGTACTTTATCAATCTAAACCAGTTTTGGAGGGATCCATCTTCTTCTTTGAAGGGACACGGAGAAAAGGGATAAAATCATCAAGCTTTTTAAACAAACAAACAAACAAAATTTAGCATGTACATATAAATTCTCTATTGGACACTCAGAATCTCAGTCAGCTGGTGTCAAACGTGGAGAAAAAGTTTTATGTAAATATGAAAATATATTTATGTGAATATAAATTCTGTTAAACCCATAGCCAGGATAAAAGGGGAAGGAGAAGTGGAAAAGAAAAAAGGAACAAACAAACAAAACGTAAGAGTGAGACCAAAGGTGGGAATAAAGTATGGGAAAAGGAATGAGATTTAAAAAGGCTTGAGAGAGGGAAAGTACTTCCTATGTCTTTAATGGGTTGGTAGCTGATTTGTATTGTATATTTAGTGGGACATATTTCAGCTTAATCACTGATGGATGAGGAACAGTGTGGCTGGAGCATAAAAATGGAGGGGGGCAAAGAAGAAGAAAAGAGGGCAAAGGGGCAGGGGAACTTTGGTTGTGCTTATTGGCTTCTGCAAGGGGCAGTTAATCACTGAAGACTAGACTTGATTGTCTGATTCTCTGAGGAGGGTGGTACCCGGGTTTTGTTTGTTTCTTTGTATTTGGGGCAATTGTATCTGCTGGGTATTCTCACAATCACACCTCTAAACTACCGTCCTTGTCTTTTAACCACAGTGGTCTACCATGAGGAAAGGGAGCAATGACTTTTTCCACTTGGATTAAATCAATGCAGAATATGTAAACATGAAACCAATAGTACAGAGTGCTATTTCTAGTCCTCCAATAAAAGAGTCAGGAAGAACTTTGTTTTCTCTATGGTGACATGAACTAATGGTCTCTATGGTCATGAACTAATCTGTTTTATGAGTGTTTTTCAAAAAATGATTTTGACAAAACTAATATTTCTTATTTGGGGATTTAATAATAAAAATTAGTTCTATGAGATTAATACTAGCTGTATGCTCCAAAGGAAAAACTATTCTTTCCAAGTACTAGTGAGTTGACAGAAGGTACAAAATATAATACATTCAATTGAGTCTTTCTTCCCCTTTCCCTTCCTATCTCCCTATCTCCTTCCCCTTCCACTTTCTTTTCCTTTTCTTCTTTTCTTCTTCTCCCTCTCCCTCTCCCTCTCCTCCTCCTCCTCCTCCTCTTGCTTCTTCCGTCTCCTTCTTCCTCTTCTACCAGGGATTAAACCCAGGGGTGCTTAAACAGAGAAAGCAGCATCCTCAGCCTTTTTTTTATTTTAGATGGGGTCTCACTAAGTTACTTAGGGCCTCACTAAGTTGCTGAGGCTGTCTTAGAATTTACTATCCTCCTGCATCGTCAGCCTCCTGAGACACTGGGATTACAGGTGTGTGCCACCATACACAGCTGAGTCTTCTTTCTTTTCATTCCTTTCTCTGTCTCTCTCTCTCTCTAGGTTTGTTGTACTCAAAGTGCACCAGGCACAGGAATAAAAGCATTTTCTAAAAGAATTCATCTTGGGGACCCACTCGTCTCCGTTATGTAATCAAAGGCCAAACAAAAACATAAGGCTTTGAAAATGATTGGTAAGTGTCATACTTTAGCTTATGTGCAGATAGTCCTCAGAGAAGGCTAATGATGCTATTTCATGTATTTAAACTTGAGAGTAAGTTAATGAGAGTTGTAGAGACTTGCCTAGAATACCTGTGTCTGCTTTCTTTGCTTCTGGGGATACTGGTAGGATATAAATGAAATGGGTAAGTGGAGGGATGCGGGACAATAGTGTTCTCTGTTCTACTCCAAGGGAGCAGTTGCCTAAATGTTCAAACCGATTTGAAAATGCAAGAGAAGCGCCAGCAGAGGGCGCAGTGCTGGTAGCAGGAACTGACTAGTAACCAGTTAAATCCACTGTCTTAGAAGGAGCCAGAGAAATTAATCACACAGATGTGATGGCAATAAAAGGGACCAGCTTGCACTCTCCCATACCTGGGGAGCTAATTGTAGATCCTCAAGTCAAAATTTTAACTTTAAGCTATTTAAGCTCAAAATCAGATGTAATGAACCATACTCATCTACCTTATGGGTTGTTTTGTTTTGTTTTTATTGAAGTAAAGCATATATGAATAAGGAGCTATCAGGGAAATGAAGATACGCCATTGTATGAACATTTCCCTCAACCAAGAGTATCTTGCTACGTTGTGTCATATATTTTTCCTATGTTATGTATCCATAGTGTCAATCCACACTGGCCACCCCCCGAAATTCATGTTTCATTTAAATGTTGAAATAGCTGAGTCTTTAGGAACCTGGCTGCGTATTGGTCTTTTTATTATTATCATAATCTTGGAATACTACCTCTCCTATGGAATAATAGATCCTTATACGAGCTCTTGGAATGCTCCACAATCTCCAAAAGGGAAATATTTTTCCCCTAAAGGTCTAAAAGAACTTGGCAATAGCAAAAAGACAGTGATGGAAACATGAAAATGCCTAAGGAAAAGGAAAGCAGATTTTCACCCCATGGACTGCAGTGAGTGGGCCAGTTCACTACCGGTGCAATCATCTTGAACTTAGGAGAAAAATGTGGAAGATCTAGTTACAAATGATTGAGGGGAAACTCAAGGGAGGAAAAAGGGAATTGTTTTTAAAAAGTATGGCTTAAAATATTTTATGAAGTTATCACTATATTTACAGATGAGTTTTTCATTATTTTAAAAAATTAATATATATGTGTATGTGTATATATACATATATATACTTAAGTACATATATTTAGTAAGTATACTTAGATATTTTATGAAATGGTAAAATTTACCATTTCACTGCTCAAACATTTCAACAGAGGCCAAAACTTGAGTAAATTCTGTAACAAAGACAATGGAAATTGTTAACAACCAAAAGCAACTACACATATATTTAAATATAAATCCTTCCATCATTATGGAAATATTATAAGATACATATAATCGGGTAAACATTGCCCTATAATTTTGCTTTACAATTTGTGTAAAAAAGTTTACAAGAATTTTACAAATGAAAATAGACCACAACCAAAAATATAAGAAAACAAAATAAAATACAAAATTAGAATTCACTAATGCAATTTTATGATTTACATTTTTTTATTTTTATTTTTAACTTTTTCTAATTTGTTCTAGTTATACATAACAGTTCTAGTATATGGAGTATAATTTCTCATTCTTCTGGACATACATGATGTAGCGTTACACCTGTCATATGAGCACATAGGGTAATAATGTCTGATTCATTCTACTATCATTTCTAACCCCATACCCCTTTCCTCTCTTTACGTCCCTCTGTCTAATCCAAACTAACTCTGTTTCTTCCCTAGCCCTCCATTAGCATCCAAATAGGAGAAAACATTCAGCCTTTGGTTCTTTGAGAATGGCTTTTTTTTGCTTAGTAGAATATTCTCCAGTTCCATCCATTTACCTGCAAATGCCATAATTTCATTCTTTTTAAAGGCTGCATAATATTCCATTTTCTTTATCTATTCATCTGTTGAAGGGCACCTAGTTTGGTTCCATAGTTTAGCTACTGTGAATTGATCTTCTATAAACATTGGTGTGGATTTGTCACCGTAGTATGCTGATTTTAAATCCTTTGGGTATAAACTGAGGAGTGGAACTACTGGGTCAAATGGTGGTTCCATTCAAAGTTTTCAGAGGAATCTCCATACTGCTTTCCAGTCCCACCAGAAATGTATGAGTGTACCTTTCTCCCCATATCCTTGCCAACATTTATTGTCGCTTGTATTCTTGATAATTGCCATTCTGACTGGAGTGTGATGAAATCTCAGAGTAGTTTTGATTTGCATTTCTGTAATTGCTGGAGATGTTGAACATTTTTTCATAGATTTGTTGATTGATTGTTTATCTTTTTCTGTGAAGTGTCTGTTCAGTTCCTTAGCCCATTTAATGCTTAGGTTATTTGTTTTCTTTGGTATTAAGTATTTGAGTTCTTTATAGATCCTAGAGATTAATGCTTTAATCTGAGTTTTTGCATGTGGTAAAGATTTTCTCCCATTCTGTAGGCTCTCTGTTCACATTTGATTGTTTCCTTTGCTGTGAAGAAGCTTTTTAGTTTGATTCCATCCCATCTATTGATACTTGATTTTACTTCTTGCGCTTTAGATGTCTTGTTAAGGAAGTCAGTTCCTAAAATGACATGATGGAGATTAGGAGCTATTTTTACTACTATAAGGCACAGGGTCTCTGTTCTAGTGCTTAAGTCCTTGATCAAATTTGAGTTGATGTTTTTGGTGGGGTGAGAGGGTTTTAATTTCATTTTGCTACATGTTGGATTTCCAGGTTTCCCAGCAACATTTGTTGAAAAGGCTATCTTTTCTCCAAAATGTTTTTGTGTTGCACCTTTGTCTAGTTTGAGGTAACCATATTTATGTGGGTTTAGTCTGTATGTCCTCTATTCTGTACCATTGGTCTTCATGTCTGCTGTGGTGCCAATACCATGCCATTTTTGTTACTATGGTTCTGTAGTATAGTTTAAGGTCTGGTATTGTGCTTCCTGCTTCACTTTTCTTGCTAAGGATGCTTTGGCTATTCTGGGCCTCTTATTTTTCCAAATGAATTTCATGATTGCTTTTCCTATTTCTATGAACAATGTCATTGGGATTTTAGTAGGAATTACTTTAAATATGTAAAGTTCTTTTGGTAGTATGGCCATTTTGACAATGTTAATTTTGCCTATCCAAGACCATGGGAGATCTTTCCACTTTCTAAGGTCTTCTTTCATTTCTATCTTTAGTTTTCTTTTTAGAGGGCTTTCTCCTCTTTTGTTAGATTGATTCCCAAGGGTTTTTTTTTTTGTATGTGTGTGTGTGTGTGTGTGTGTGTGTGTGT